GATACCAGGTACATGTGTTTTATATTTACTGTATTATTACATTCATAATATATATATATATATATATATATATATATATATATATATATATATATATATATATATATATATATATATATATATATATATATATATATATATATATATATATATATATATATATATATATATATATATATATATATATATATATATATATATATTTAAGAACATAGTTTTACTAATTTATTTATGTTTTGCTTTTAAACTTTTTTTTTAGGAGAAGAGAAAGAGTATTTGAGTTTTGATTCCATTGATAGAACAGATTCAAGTTATACTGAAGCATATGAAGTTCTAACTCCTGAATTTCTCAGTAAATTAAGAACGTCAGGGCTTCCCAATCATAGGATCAAATTGAAGGTTGGTACACCTATTATGCTAATGAGAAATTTGGACCAAGCCGATGGGTTGTGCAACGGAACAAGATTAATTGTTACAAGATTTGCAAATCATGTCATTGAGGCAAAAATCATGTCTGGAAAGAACATAGGTAACATTTTTTACATTCCACGAATGTCTATGTCACCTTCTGATTCACCTTGGCCATTCAAGTTGATTAGGAGACAATTTCCGATTATTGTCTCCTATGCAATGACAATTAATAAGTCACAAGGTCAATCTCTTGATAGTGTTGGATTGTATTTGCCTACTCCTGTGTTTAGTCATGGTCAATTATATGTTGCAATTTCAAGAGTTAAGAGCAAAAGTGGGCTAAAAATCCTAATTCATGACAAGGAGAATGTACCGTGTTCTACTAATACTAATGTTGTGTACAAGGAAGTCTTTCAAGCACTTTGATAGTTGGTAAACTTTATATCTTATACTTTACGATTCAAATTAAAAATCTATTTTGAATTAAAATATATAGTATGTACATTTTCCATGTATTTCAAGAAGTATATAATTTTTCCTATTTGTTCATGCAGACGTGATTTGTTGATAGGACCGACGCTTGCTACAAATATGGAGTTAAATGCCAACATGGTTTACATGAGACATATACTCAACTGAAAACATGGTAACATACTTAATAATTTAATAATCTATAAATGTAATGTGAATCCACACGAGACCCGTGCGATAGCACGGGTTTGTTACTAGTAATATATTAAAAAGTTTAGTGATGATACATAAGCAGAATTAATTGTAAAAATAATGTGGTGTTAGTAGTGGTATAAATAACCATATTTGCCCATGTAATAAGAAAAGATTGAACTTGGAGTCAGAGGGTATTCGTGGTTTTTCTGAGTACTTTGATTTTTATAGATAGATAATAGAAGAACAACAACTTCTAGGCTCGAAAGGATTGACTAGGGATTAAATCTCCTTAGCTCCTTATTTTGGGGAACTAAAATAATGCCTTACATACTCAGCTAGGTCTTACTAATAAAATCATAGTTCAACAACCTTGGTTGTTTTGCTTATCACTCTCCATCTAACATTTGTTAATAAAAAGTAGTGAAGGAAAAAGTGAAATGAATAAGCATTGATGTATTCTTGCGAATAAAGAATGATGACATACAAACGAGTGAACAAGGAATGATTGATTCCAAAAAATGCATGCTCATTTTATTAACATTACCATACAAAGCTACAAGTTTAAAAAACAAATAACACTTACCTATAAGGAAATAAAATGATGAAGTGGCCAAATGATCATCATCTTCGAGGATGATTTTATGTATGATCAATTGGCTTTAAAGGGTGCTTCCTAAAGCCTTCATGCTCACCCGAGCGAGGGGTTTTCATTCAACGACGACTTTCCTTTTTTAAAGGTTAAGCACTTGGTGTCGATCAAGTCATGTACTTTGGCCTTAAAAGCTCTGCAGTACTCAGTTGAGTTCCAGATGTCGTTCTCCCAGGGGTGGCTCAACTTATAAATCTAGTTCTATTCAGTGTTGAGTGTATTCCTTGAACGATTATTTATCCTTCTTAGTCATATTTTGTAGTTATATTATATCCGGAGCCATGTCTATGTTATATTTATCTTGCTTCAGAAAGGCATCTTCCAGGTCAATCCATAACTGGATTTTTCTTTTCTCAAGATTCATGCATGTACCATTTTAGGGACGCCTCACTCAAGCTATCTTGGAAATAGTGAGTCATTATATTTTAATTATGAGATTGAGGCACCATCTTTCTGCAATACATTACCAGATGAATCCTCAGGCAACTAATGCCTTTGTACTTTTCAAAGTTCGGGACTTTTAATTTAGGGGAATGGTCACATCAGGGACTAAGCACATATTGTGTGCTTCTAGGCCAAATACATTGTGCCTCTCAATAGCTCACATCCTCTTCTCTTGGACCTGATACTTTTCCTCATATTTATTATTCTCTATCATCCTCTATAGATAGGTATCTTGGGGACCAGTTGCATGGTATGTAAGGAGATGATCCTCATATGGCCCTTCGCGTGCCGAATGAACAATGAAGTGTGCCTCAGTGATTATCGAGGTTTGCACTAGCTACTGAGTAGATGGACCACTACTTGTGGCATTTCCAAAGGGCAAAGTATAACCTGAAGGTAGACCATAGGGTGGGAACTGAACACTCTCCTATTGAGTGTGTTGAGGTTTTGTGAATGAAAGTGTAACATTTTCTGCATTCACAGTCCGCTCTGGCTGATCTTCCTTGTCTATTTTACTTGTTAGTGCTTGTAAAGCCTCTAGGACCTTACTCATTATGCCTTTGAGTGCATCAACATTTTACCTCATGATTTACTGTCCTTTTTCAAAGTCTTCCATTTTCCTTCTACGCGCGTTCCGCAGGAGTGCTAGAGAATCAATTTTCTTTGTTAACTGTTTAGTATTTTGAGGATGAGAAAAGGGAATGAGTTTTTTTTAAAGACGAGCATGTATACTTATGAATACGGATGCATCAGTTTTTTGATATGCCAAAAGGTTTTAATGGAAATGCAAAGTCATGCCATGCATCGATGCAATGCAATGTCATGTGTGGGTTTAGGAAAATGGGGACAACATAACAAACTAGTTAGAAAATCTCCTTATGATAGGATAGTTCTAAGTTTTTTCTACCCAAAACCCTTCACAAAGGTTAGCTCTAGGGTTTTTGAAATGGTACATAGAGTCATGGGTTTTAATCAAATTTTTTCCATAGTAACAGGAAAGCCATTATACGATAATATTCGCGAAAATAATCTTCTCTAGGTGAGGTCTTTGTACTAACCAAGAAAGGTGTACATCCTAAAGGCCAATACTATACAACCTCCACTCAACAAAAGGTTGTAAGCAGAGTTCCTAGATTCACATGTTTTAATCAAAATACTGCCATGGTAACAGGCTAGTCGTTATACAACAACATTCACGAAAAGAATCTCCTCTAGGTGGGGTATTTGTACTAACCAAACAAGATGTACACCTCGAACGCCAATACTACGCAACCGCCAAATTTAAGCTTATGGTTTTTTCTCGAATCTAAGGGATAGAGCTTCACTTCAACAAAGTTTCCAAAAACCGTCACATGATGAATATATATGAGAAATATATAAATCGATAAAAATAAAGAAAAGTAATAAGAAAACAAAAAAAAACAAGAAGAAATGTAAACCAAAGCTAACATTCAAACCCTTAAACTAACTAAACTAGGTTTGACCCTCTCGTGAGTACCCAACAGAGTCGCCAGTTGTCACAGAACAAAAAATACGTGAGCGTAAGAACGCTCGAAATACAATAAGAGTCACCACCGAAGTTTTGTTTTTAGAAGAGAAACGTCTATAAAATCCTTAAAGAACAAAAATATGGTCATCACAACCAAATTAAGATTCAGAAGCCGATTATGCGCAGGGAAGGTATCAGTATCCCGTAGTATCTGTTGTACACAACGGGAATTATTTAATTAGTTTTGTGAAAAAGTTAGCTTAAAATGGTTTGAGTTTCTTCTTGAGATTAAAAAATATTTACAGAAAATAAGTAAAAGGACTAAAAATATTTTTTTTAGTAAAGTGATTGACGAGACATTGAATTTAAAGCTACTTAGTTCTTTGTATAAAAAGTTTGTTGGTTGGTTGATTTTAATTATAAAAAGTTTTAATTTGATTGCGTTAAGGTGGAAAAAACATGTTTGATGAGTTGAAATATATTTTTAAGTGGATGACAAATACTCGATCTTAAACAAGACGTACATCTTGATCCAAAATTTCTAGGATAGAATGGATGTACATCCATTCACCCTTTTTCATATAAGTTTTGATTTAGAAAATTTTCCAGAAGACGAATTTTCCACCTTAAACAAGGTGTATGCCTTGCGTTAGATTATTCTAGACGAAACGAATGTACATCCGATTATCGTTTTAATCCAAGTTTTTTATTAATAAATTTTAAACAGAAGACAAATGACCGATAATGGACAAGTTGTGCACCTTACGTTCAAGTATTCTAAACGAAACAGATGTACATCCGATCATCATTTTAATCCGAGTTTTATTTTTTATTTTTGAGAAAATATTTGACTAAGTCTAAAAAATAATTTGATTTTTCATTGAAAATAAAATAATATAGTATTTTATATAGTATTCAGATTAGTAATTTAAATATATTTATAAATTAATTATTAATTAATTAAATGAACAATAAAAAAGTTTAAAAAAAGTTAGCAAAATGGGTGCAAGAGGCAATATCAAAGGGGTTCAAACATGAAATAATTTGAGGCCAAGCCTAACCATGATAACAAACCCTAACAACTCATAATTTTTAAAAATAAATAAACAAACAAAAATAAAACAACTTAAATCAACATTAGAAGGGAAGTGGGTTCTCTAACGTTAGCGCGTTTACGTTAGAGTACTATTCAATAAAATTTACTCGTTAGATAAATCAGACTGCATAGATAACATCACATGTCGATCAATGAATTAAAAAAATAAAAACAGATAAACAAAGGGGACGATACAAAAACCTATATTCTTTTTGCCACTAGTTTCAACGTTCACCGTGATAACCCTATCGTCGCCGCCAACTTTCATCTCTTTTAACAACAAGACTTTCAGAATAAATGAAACTCGAACAAAAGTACAAAATCAGAAGAAAGGAAAAAACCGTGTGAAGTGTAATTAAAAAGAAATTAAGTTTCCCCGTCGGCACTCTGTAAGTGTGTTGTGATCTTGCTCGGTCGTTTTCCATTGTGATGGCGTACGTGTTTCCTGCTGCGATCCGGCCGGCGATGGTGTAACCTCCATGGATCAACTTTTCATATTCCATAAAACGTTACATAGTCACCCCAACATACAACTATGAATAAGTTATTCAAATTTTTAATTATTCAAATTTTTAATTATTCAAATGTCCACGTGGTATAAGTTGGATCATTACACTTCTCAAACGGTCTAAAATTTGTGAAAGGTGGAGTGACGTTGGCGCTTTAACGTCAGAGAATCTGGCACCCATTAGAAGATGGGGACCAACATTCTTGTTTCAAATTAAATACTACACACCGATTGCAACATGACACATGACAAAGCTATTAAAATAAATAAATTATCAAGAGAAAACAGAGTACTTTCTCTTCTCCATCGTATACCTTTCTCTCTTTTTTTCGGTTCATCATTCACTACAGTCAAGAAAGCCCGCAATCACGGAGTCATGCAATGGTAGCTTTTGGATGTTAATCAGACGGTCTTGATTCAAATTGGTAATTTTTGGAGTTATAAGATGCTTCAGACGGTCTTGCTTTAAATTGGTAATTTTTGGAGTTATAAAATGCTGATGTTTCTAATCATCAGATGAAAATCTAACGGCTAATAAAGTGTTGATTGTGTGACTGGAAAAATAATAACAGCAGAGGATTCAAATTCCTTTTTGTCTTCCCAGTTCCAAATTCATCAAATCACTCAAGCCCATAAACACAATCAAAACAAAAAAACTTTTTCTCTTACTTTTAATTTCAATCTCAATAAAACAAACTCACATGCGAAGGTAAGGCGTCACCGGAACAAAATTGGTCGGCGGTGAAAGGTGGCCTGACGCGTGCAGAGATCTCCATGGTGAGCTTACATGGAGTCGCGATCGGAACAGAGAGTGGTCTAATAGAGCGACCACGTTGGAAGTCTTCATGGAGGGAGTCCGGTTTTCTGAGGAGGGCAGTGGTTTTCGTGACATCGACAAATTTCTTTCCGATTTTGATTTGCCTCCTTGCTCTATTTCGACTCACCTTTTATTTTAGATGGAAATGTACAACACGTTCAATTACGACAATTACTTGCACTATAATTAGAGTCGTTCGTAAAATGACATCGGATGGTAATTAATCAGTCTTAGTATCTGGATACGAAGTCGAAAATAAGAGAGAAGAAAATTATAGATGAAGTGAGTGATGAAAGAAGAGAGAAGAATTGTAGAAGTAAATTCTGGAACGGCCCAAATGAACCGAAACAACTTAATTTATAAGTAAGAATGTCCAACTGAATGGAACAGGTCTAGTGGGAGAAAATAGTGGGAGAGGTGGAATTGGCCCAGTCAATAACTAGTGAATAATTAGGTTAAGACTCAGTCTTTTGGAGGGCAATCAAAAACAAGTCAATAATTAGGTTAAGACTTGGTCTTTTGTGCATGACACATCATCATCTATTAATTAATAATAATATTAATATTAATTAATTTCCACTCTTTTGTGACTAAAATGAATCTTTTAAAATTCACTTTCATGCTAGTTCTTACTTGTGCTCATTTATTGCCCATTTAATGTCAATAAATTATTCCAACTCCCATTCCAAGTTTACATCATATCAAGATTTCCAACAATCCCCCACTTGAATTTAAAAGGTGATTTTTTTAGAAGTCCGTCAAACGTTTCTAAGGTTGTGCATAAGCAAAGGTGTCTACGACTTGAACCTTTGCGTAGCAAGTAGGATTCTGATTCAACAAGAGTGACACTATTGTCTTGAACTCTATCTCAGACATCTGACCCGCACACAACATTTTCTTAAGGTGTATTCTAATAGCCCGTGCTTTAATGGCCCTGCACGTATATCCCGGTTTAGTGAAGGCTCTAGGAATCCTGCCTCGTAATTCCATAGGAACCGGCCTAAGTTCCCCAATCACATAGGTGAGTCTATCAAGAGTACTCTTGTAGCCTAGGTACTCTCTCATACAGAGTATAGATCTCATTAAGAGTTTCCATTATCTCATCCTCTTATTACTTCAGGATTCATGCTTTACTTGCATAATCATCTCATATTACTCATAACTTGTTATTACCCATTGAACCTATTTCTTGGGATCTCCAGTCATCTAGGTCGGGTTACCATAATGAGCAACTCATTTCTTTATAGGCATTAGTCTCATCCTTTTGGATGTATTATGGACTTTCTCTCTAGCTAATCCTTTCGTCAAAGGATCTGCTAAATTTTCATCAGTGCGTATATGATCCACTCTTACAGCTCCTTTAGAGATACAGTCTCTAACAGTGTTGTGTTTCCTTCTTATTTGACGTCTTTTACCGTTATAATAACGGTTCTCAATTTTTGCAATAGCCGCGATACTATCGCAGTGGATCAACACAGTGTTGGCTGAAGATTTTGATAATATTATTAGAAGCCAAGTGGATTGAACGTTTCGATCGAAATGAAACAAAGCGTCATGTTTCGAAATAGCAGAAGCAGTGTTTCGAATGAGCATATCAAAGCTTGGAGCTTCGAGTGGCAATTATGGGAACATATCTAAAGAAGTCTCGAAATGACAACAAGGTTGTATCTAAGGAATACGTTCGAAGCGAAGAAGTGCCAAAACATTTGAAATTCAAATGCAAGCGGGACATTCGAAGTTTGAAATTTATGTGCTGGAGCATTTGAAGACACGTGGAAGTAAGAGAGAGGCATTGCTCTGCATGTTCTGAACGTGGCATAATCTTATAGCAAGACCGTTATGGTCGAAGTAGTATAAATAGAAGTCTTAGCATTAGGATTTCGTGTGTCATATCTATTGTACTAAATACTCAGTAAACATTCAAATTACCACATGGCTAGGGAAACGAATGCAAGAGCAATGTACGTATGATAGCACCACACGTTTATGATTTAATGAAAACCCTTTATCATTTCCAGTACTTTCCTTTATCTTTCTGCCAAATACCATTTACAAGTTTTCTCATTTAAAGTCTTTTTATTCGAAATCTTTTCATTGATGCCTTACATTTAAATGCTTTCTTTCCATTTCAAACACTTTACATTTCAGAAAACTGTCATACTTTTCATGCCTTTATCTTCAAGTTTTATCCTTCGAACGCCTATTTTTACTTAAAGTCATTTTACAGATTTCTTGCATTAAATGCTTTCTTCGCATTTCGAATATTTTACATTAACTGTTTTGTTTTACGTTTCGAAGCCATTTACTTGTCTTTTATGCAATTTTACATGTCTTTACAATTAACATTTATTCATGCAATTTAGTTTCGCGCACATGTATTTTGATTACACCTTTAGATCTTTAAGAGAGAAATCGAAATAAGTCAAACACCTACACAATACTCTAAATACCAACCATGAATACCTGTTCGGTCATGAGAGTTACCCTAATGACCAACAAGTCCTAGGATCAATCTAGTCGATCCTGCGAGTTACCAGAGAAATTGAATAACAGTCAGTAAGTTTATTCGATAGTTTGGAAGACTAGCGGTTGTTTACCAGAAATCACTGGAAACAAATTGGCACACCTGGTGGGACCAATCGTTGGACATTAGAAATAAAGATTGTTGAGACATAACCATTATAAAAAACGTTGGAACCTAAGAAGTTTGTTGTTTTATGAACCTAAGAAGTGGTAAAATAACCAACAGCAACCAACCCTTATCCAAAAGAAAACGTTTGACCAAGATGTCTAATTCTGACAATCAACAAGGGGAACAAAATGCCCCACATACAACAGGCACTAGTGTATCCACTTCGATGGGAACGTCTAATGTGATCCCTTCGAATGCACAGCCTGTTCCGTCTTCAACCAGTAATATAGCCACTAATGGAGTAAGTGGCATATCAACTAATAGTTCGATCTTAGGAAATACTGGAACCATTGGTTATCCTGGGGGATTTGTTCCACCATCAGGGACACAATCCCATTTCGCCACTCCACTAACTAGACCACCCGGTTTCGATGGTAATAGAACCAGGAATTCCTCTTATGGAATGCCAACATCTTTTATGGCAGGTTTACACAATTCCACATCGAATTCATCACCACAATTAGGGTCTGGGTCTGGGGAGAATCAGTTTATGACAAATAACCAAGGGTCAGTGGGTTATAGCATAATACCTATTTTAACCACAGAAAACCAGTTGGCTTTTAGGCAATTGATGGATGACAGTAACCATAATATGATAGGGGTGTTAGCACAAACTATGCAGAAAATATTTGCCCCAATAGTACAAAATGTGACTGTGACAAACAGAGAAAACGCTGATAACATGAGTCGAATAGCAGATTTCTTTGCTCCCCCAGAAAGGCGTAGGCAGAATCAGGCGGGAGTTCGAGCAAACATGCCTATTATGGAACAAGTTGCTAACGACCCAATTTATAGACCACCTAGAGAAGAAGTTAACTTGGGGGCAAGGGCACCAAGGCTAGAAGCCCCAATAATCCCAGGCCCACAAAGAGAAATTATGGAACCAGGGGCAAGGGTCGAAAGGCTGGAAGTCCCAGAGTTTCGAGAAGAACAACCTAGGGGGGTTGTCATGGTGGGTCGAAATCAAGATGCTGATGCAGTCGTTCATAGAATTCGAAACGATAACATCTTGGCAGAAAACAATCTAACCACCATGATAGAGAGAGTCATGGCCCAGAATGGCCTCAACACAGGAATGAGAAGGCCAAATTATGCTTCTCCTATATTAGATTGCATAATGCAGACTGATTTGCCAAGGGGATATAAAGTCCCTAAGTTTACAAAGTTCGCTGGGGATACCAATGAGTCAACAGCCGAACATATAGCCAGATATCTAACCGAAGCGGGAGATATAGCCAATAATGAAGATCTCAGGATCAAATACTTCCCAAGTTCCCTGACTAAAAACGCCTTCACATGGTTCACCACTTTGCCTCCTGGGTCCATTGATACTTGGGCTCTTTTAGAGAGATTATTCCATGAACAATTTTACATGGGACAGTCGAAAATAAGCTTGAAGGAATTAGCCAGTGTCAAGAGAAAGTTCACTGAACCCATAGATGATTATCTGAATAGATTTAGGCTCTTGAAATCCAGATGTTACACA